GAGCCAAGAGGCTGGACTACACCCTGTACTGTGTTAGTACATGTTACATGTACCAGCTGGGTTGATAGTGTGTGTGCGTTGTTACAGTTACGACCAGGTGGTGGGGAGCGAAGAGACTAGACTATGCGCTGTACTGTGTTAGTACCAGCTGGGCTGATGGTGTGTGTGTGTGTGTGTTAGTACCAGCTGGGCTGATAGTGTGTGTGCTGTTGCAGTAACCACTCGGTGGTGGGGAGCGAAGAGGCTTGACTACGCGCTGTACTGTGTTAGTATACCAGCTGGGCTGATGGTGTGTGACTGTGTGTTGTTGTTTTCCTCCTGTAGTGACCACCAGATGGTGGGGAGCCAAGAGGCTGGACTACACCCTGTACTGTGTTAGTACATGTTACATGTACCAGCTGGGTTGATAGTGTGTGTGCGTTGTTACAGTTACGACTCGCTGGTGGGGAGCAAAGAGGCTAGACTACGCGCTGTACTGCCCCGAGGCCCTCACAGCCTTCCCCTCCATGACTCTGCCATACCTGTTCCACGCCAGCTACTGGGAGTCCACTGATGTCATCGCCTTCATACTCAGACAGGTGCGTAGATCACCTGCATTGCCTCACCTGCACACACCTGCCATATCAGACAGGTGCGTAGAACACCTGCATTGCCTCACCTGCACACACCTGCCATATCAGACAGGTGCGTAAAACACCTGCATTGCCTCACCTGCACACACCTGCCATATCAGACAGGTGCGTAGAACACCTGCATTGTCTCCTGCACACACCTGCCATATCAGACAGGTGCGTAGAACACCTGCATTGTCTCACCTGCACACACCTGCCATATCAGACAGGTGCGTAGAACACCTGCATTGCCTCACCTGCACACACCTGTCAGGTGATCAATACTTGTCTCTGAAGTTAGAAACATGTTACCAATGGAAAATCTCACGTACAATGACTGTCTTTGTACAGGAGCGACTTGGTGTGGAGTGATAATTAAAAGTTTTCTGTCCTGGGTGTTTTTTTTGCTCGACTGTTCAGGTTCTGTTTTATCAACTGTCCATGTTGCTGTCCATGTATTGTTGTTTACTTGTTCATATTGTGTTGTTTGTTCAGGTTGTGCGAGTGGAGAATGTGAGCATTCGCATCGGAGACGGGGAGGAAGTCGCTCTCTTCAGCCCGACCCAACCTCGCGAGCGCTGGCTCAAGCGACGCACGGCCGTCAAAATTAAGGTAAGCTGGCTCAAGCGATGCACGGCTGTCAAAATTAAGGTGAGCTGGCTCAAGCGACGCACGGCCGTCAAAATTAAGGTGAGCTGGCTCAAGCGACGCACGGCCGTCAAAATTAAGGTGAGCTGGCTCAAGCGACGTACTGCCGTCAAAATTAAGGTGAGCTGGCTCAAGCGACGCACGGCCGTCAAAATTAAGGTAAGCTGGCTCAAGTGACGCACCGCCGTCAAAATTAAGGTAAGCTGGCTCAAGTGACGCACCGCCGTCAAAATTAAGGTGAGCTGGCTCAAGCGACGCACGGCCGTCAAAATTAAGGTAAGGGGCTCAAGACACAAAATTAAAGTAAGACATTATATGTTGGTTATAGGTTGGTAATATGTCTTAATGTTAAACTCTAATCACAGACCCAGTACATCATTTTTACCACCAGTTTGTCTCCATTATCTCCTGACATCTCTTTCTACTGCTGCAGAACATGACGGCCAATCACAGAGCAGCTGACAGCGTGACGCTGCAGAACACCGGCCAATCGCTGACGGCGAGGTTTATGTACGGCCCACTCGACATGGTGGCTCTCACGGGGGAGAAGGTAACTTTGAATTTCATTCACTCACTCATTCACTCATTCTCTCATTCACTCCCTCACTCACACAATACGGGCCGCTCGACATGGTGGCTCTCACGGGGGAGAAGGTAACATTCATTCACTTCTCTCTCATGCACTCTCTCTCTCTCACTCACTCACTCACTCACTCACTCACTCACTCACTCACTCACTCATCTACTCACTCACTCATCCACTCACACACTCTCTCACTCTCTCATTCACTCACTCTCATTCACACACACACACACATAAACACATACAATCACCGCTGGACATGGTGGTTCTCACAGGTGAGAAGGTGAGGCAACATTCGTCCCATTCTCACTCACTCGTTTACTCACTCACACACTCACTCACTCACCACTCACTCACTTTCATGGTTACCTGAGCAGGTGGATGTGTACATCATGCTGAAGCTGCCTGCTGGGGAGTGGGTTCACTTTGACACCATCGTGACTAACAACCACAGGTGTGCTGTGGTTTACCTGTGCCCACAGGTGTGCTGATTGTTACCTGTGTTTACCTGTGCAGGTGGATGTGTACATCATGCTGAAGCCACCTGCGGGAGAGTGGGTTCACTTTGACACAATCGTGACTAACAACCACGGCCGGATCCACTACTCCGTACCGAAGGACCGAATGCTCGGCTGCGGGATCTACCCCGTCAAAATGATCGTCAGGTAACAATGCCGCTTCTTGGGTCACATTAAGAGATAAAATACTGGAAGATCAACATAAAAACAGAGCCTTTCCTGGTACACAGTTTCAGGGAATGAATTTGTTTTGTTTGTTTCGCATATTAACCGGTACCGGTAAACCCCCTTTAGGCAAAACACACCTGTTTTGTACATGTATGTACCAGCTGCATAGGGCTGTACCGTAGGGTTTGAACCACTCACACTGGGAAGGTCCCCTACTCTTTTCCTCCCAGCCCGCTGTTTCATCAGTTTTTCTTCACCATTTTGCTCAGTGTTTACTTTGGAGCAGTGTTCTAGCCGACATCCACCTTTCCATCATTTGATGGAATTGTGCTGCTAATGATGGAATTTCTGTCATCTTTGACACCTGTATTTCCAGGGGAGACCACACGTCCGCAGACAGCTTCCTGATGGTGATCCTGCCGTGGACGGAGTGTGTGTGCGTGTGTGCGTTGTGTGTGTGTGTGTGTGTGTGTGTGCGTTGTGTGTGTGTGCGTGTGTGCGTTGTGTGTGTGTGCGTGTGTGCGTTGTGTGTGTGTGTGTATGTGTGCGCACATCTTTTGACGCTTGTGTTTTGCAGGGGAGACCACACGTCTGCTGACAGCTTCCTGACGGTGATCCTGCCGCGGACGGAGTGCGTCGTGTTCAGCATCGACGGGTCCTTCACAGCCTCCGTCTCCATCATGGGCCGTGACCCCCAAGGTCCGGGCGGGGGCCGTCGACGTCGTCAGGTTAGTGCTGCCCCCTAGCTGCTGCTGATAGTGCTGCAGCTACGTGTGAGTGTGTGTGTACGTGTGTGTGTATGTGTGTGTGCATGTGTGCGCGCACGCCGCGTGTGTGTGTATGTGGGTACGTGTTTGTGTTGACGCATGTGTACGTTATGTGGGTACGTGTTTGTGTTGACGCATGTGTACGTGTGTGTGTGTGTGTGTGTGTGACACTTTTGGCTTAAATGGTTTTGACACAGGCACTGGCAGGAGTTAGGCTACCTGATCGTGTACGTGACCGGGCGCCCGGACATGCAGAAGCACCAGGTGGTCTCATGGCTGGCACAGCACAACTTTCCGCACGGCGTCGTGTCCTTCTGCGATGGGCTATCCCATGACCCTCTCCGGCAGAAAGCCAACTACCTCAGGAATCTCGTGCAAGAGGTAAGATGGCTTGACCTCTAGCTAAGACGACTTGACCTCTAGCTAAGACGACTTGACCTCAGTTTTAGTTTCTCTTGGGCGTTATGCAGGTGGTTAAAGACCTCCATTATATTGTCCATCCATCTCTTCCAATCAATAAACAGGTGGAGATTGTGGTCCATGCAGCCTACGATTCAGTAAACAAACAAACAATAAACAATAACAACCGTGCCCCCCTGCAGGTGGAGATCGTGGTCCATGCAGCCTACGGTTCAGTAAACAAACAAACAATAACAACCGTGCCCCCTGCAGGTGGAGATCGTGGTCCATGCAGCCTACGGTTCAGTGAAGGACATTCCGGTCTACACGTCTCTGGGCCTGGACAGTTCTCGCCTCTTCATCGTGGGGAGACCCAACAAGAAGAACCAACATCAGGCTCAGGTAGGTTTATAACCGAAGGCTATGCTGTACACCTGAGTTTGTTTGTTTGTTTGTTTGTTTGTTTGTTCACAGTTTATAACCGAAGGCTATGCCGTGCACCTGAGTTTGTTTGTTTGTTTGTTTGTTCCCAGTTTACAACTGAAGGCTATGCCGTCCACCTGAGTTTGTTTGTTTGTTTGTTTGTTCCCAGTTTATAACCAAAGGCTATGCCGTCCACCTGAGTTTGTTTGTTTGTCCCCAGTTTATAACCGAAGGCTATGCGGTGCACCTGAGTTTGTTTGTTTGTTTGTTTGTTCCCAGTTTACAACTGAAGGCTATGCCGTCCACCTGAGTTTGTTTGTTTGTCCCCAGTTTATAACCGAAGCACCTGAGTTTGTTTGTTTGTTTGTTTGTTTGTTCACAGTTTATAACCGAAGGCTATGCGGTGCACCTGAGTTTGTTTGTTTGTTTGTTTGTTTGTACATAGTTTATTACCGAAGGCTATGCCGTGCACCTGAGTTTGTTTGTTTGTTCGTTTGTTTGTTCCCAGTTTATAACCGAAGGCTATGCGGTGCACCTGAGTTTGTTTGTTTGTTTGTTTGTTTGTACACAGTTTATTACCGAAGGCTATGCCGTGCACCTGAGTTTGTTTGTTTGTTCCCAGTTTATAACCGAAGGCTATGCCGTGCACCTGAGTTTGTTTGTTTGTTTGTTCCCAGTTTACAACTGAAGGCTATGCCGTGCACCTGAGTTTGTTTGTTTGTTTGTTTGTACACAGTTTATTACCGAAGGCTATGCGGTGCACCTGAGTTTGTTTGTTTGTTTGTTTGTACACAGTTTATAACCGAAGGCTATGCGGTCCACCTGTCCCACGTGCTGCACCAGCCGGCCAGCCAACCAGCCAAAGCCGGCGCCTGCATGGTTCTGCACAAAGGCTGCTTCGGGCTGCCCGGACAGGCCAAGGGGCTGATCCGACCAATGGCAGGCCGGCAGGCAGCCACACAGGCGGCACCCTCTAGCCACTGATGTTGGAACTGCAGCAACCATGCAGCCAGCCAAGCTCTGCACAGGCGGCGCCCTCTAGTCAGTGATGTTGGAACTGCAGTCAGCCAGGAGATATTGTGTGTGACTGTGTGCTTGTGCAATATGTTCATGTGTGTGTTTGTACATGTGCATGTAAGTGTGTGAGAGTTATGTATATGTGTGTGTGTGTGTATGTGTGTGTGTGTTTACAGGAAAATTCATGGCCAATGTCAGGCTGCCATGTTTTGTTGACAAGTTTTGTTGGAGATAGAACCCCGGCCTGATGATGATGATGAGATGGTGCCATGAGGCCATAGTGAGGTCATACATTCCTTATGGGAGTGTCAGTTGAGTGCCAAAAACATGATGCAAACTTTCCTTAAAAAGTGTTTGCAGAATGAGTCAGGCCAGGTACACACAGGGTCATGGCAGAAAATTGCAGCTTTGCCCACCCAGGTCCTATTTCTCACTTTCTTTTTATGTCCCGTTTTGTTTGAGCCATATATTTATTTATTTCATTACTTATTATGTATCACCATCGTTCATTTGTCAATATTTGTGGACATATCACATTTCACTTAACAAAACATATCATGATTCAATTCTATATTTTTGTGGGGACAACATCAAGAATCATACTGTCTTGCCTTTCCATACGTACGATTGTTGCAGAATGACATATGTTTACTGGCAAAACTTATACATGCCATTCTAAATGGACAGTTCCAATGTTGCCTATTGATATCATTTCCTTTTCTTGTTTTTCTTTGCCATGTTTCTAGACATGGTGCGCCATCCTGGGAAAACGTTGTTAACCATTATCTATAGCATGTAACAAACAGATCCAAATCAATATGCATTAAGGCTTGTCAGGGCCGTCTTAAGTCACGTATATGTTTGGCATCACCTGTAGATATTTCTTGATGATAAATCTGGACTTGGTTCAGAACAGGAGACGCTGCACTACTGATTTAAAAAGCAGCATGCTTCACCGCAAATCAGGATAACAAAGGAAGAAAATATTAATGTGAACAAAGAGGTATCAACTATGCTGTAATTTGTCAGTTTCGGTGTTGTATTGGCGCAAAATGTAGCCAAAATTGTCTGGCCATTAGGTAACATTCCCGGGTGTGGCGATATTTTGAAATTGTAACACCCGAACTAAAATGAAGTGTCTAAATTGTATGCTGCATTTGTGTAGGAAGATGAAAAATATATGCATAATATAGATATGTATATATATTAGAACAGAAACATTTATGTAAAATATATACATAACATTATATATATATATGATATTATATATGTGTGTCTGTGTGTGTGTAAAAGTATCTATTAGTAAGTGCTAAGTAATTGTACCCACTTCATGTTAGTTGCTGATCTTAAGTTGTTTGAGATTTGGGGAGGGTCAGAATCCTTGCCAACCCAGCTTGTTTAATTTTGTTAATTTTACCAGGCAATGATGTATTTTATCCTGTGCAATTGCCCATGAGATACGGAAACACCACTGGAAAGTCACCATAAAAACAGAGCCTGAGGAAAAGTCTGTACTTTTGTGCACAAAGTTTCAGGGAAAGAGTTTAGCCAGGTGCAACTTTTCCCCAGCTTCTGTTTTTCTACAAAATAATAGATAAAATTCAATGTGGCAATCAAAAAGGTTTTTAATTTAGCATAATTATGTCAATGTAACGATGATGTTCTTTATTTTTCATGTGTATCACATTTTGTCCCAGGGATCTTTGTTGCACACGTGCTCAGTTTTTGTTGTGAAGCTGTTATTATATATATTTTTTTAAAAGTTGAAGACTGCACCACAACCACCCGCACAGTATTAGTTTGGCTCTTATTGCACAAATAAACCAGAATGTTGCCAAACATTTGCTTCTGTGTTCAAGACCGTCTCATTTTCTTTGATAGGTCATGGCAACCTGTCTGTAGTCATGGCAACCCATCAGTAGTCATGGCAACCTGTCTGTAGTCATGGCAACCCATCAGTAGTCATGGAAACCTGTCTGTAGTCATGGCAACCTGTCTGTAGTCATGGCAACCCATTAGTAGTCATGGCAACCCGTCTGTAGTCATGAAAACCTGTCTGCAGTCATGGCAACCTGTCAGTAGTCATGGCAATCCGTCAGTAGTCATGGCAACCTGTCTGTAGTCATGGCAACCTGTCTGTATTCGGGCTTGATTTCCGTATTATGAAGAGCGTCTTTTTTTATTTAATCCTGTAACAATTTTCACATCAAAACAAGGCGAACCACCTGCAGGTTTTTGACTGAATTTAAGAACTGTAGAGACAGATGTTTGTTTACTTGAGACTTTAAAAGTTTAAGGTTGCACCCATTTGAGCAGCATTCACAGGGAAGCTTGTTCCATAGTGATGTCTTTCTAAGCTTTCAGCGTGGAACTTCCTCCTAAGAAATGGAGTACGGAAGAGGAAAGGGTGATTAACTTCCGTGTATAGGAATGGCAAAACGGGCCAAGAAAGTTCGAAGTAAATAATGAGAAACGGTGCAGCAGCGGTCACGCCATGAATCCCCTCAGTTATCATATATAATACGCAAAAAACAGTTACTCAAGCAACTGGACATGAGTTTGGACACGGTCAGACGTTTCAGGTAGCATCCACTATATATACTACCTTTTGTCGTTAGCAACACTGGAGAGCTCCCAGAATTATAAATTTTCTACATTTACAGTAGAAACACATAAACAGCTTTATAAACACGAACTATTGATTGATACGCAAATGAAGTGAAGGCAAATTTTTCATGGACCAAGGAAAACCTAGGAAAACAATTTAAGCAAAGTGATCACAAGTTTGATGCAAATGAGCCTGGCAGCACCTGTTGTTTAGGGCTGGGAGCGGGAGGGACACAAGTGCCGGAGAGTTCTACCCGGAGACTTTGTCATTTTTTTCTACCCCTCTTTTGAGACTCTCGTCCTGGATTACCACACCGCTGCTGTATGGAGACCTGGACTACATCACCTCTGCTGTATACCAGGTAAGTTTGTTCTACTGCATGCTGATCTCAGGGTTGGGGACTTTTAATTACGTACTACAAAAGGTGTGCATATAGGATGGACCCGTCACATGCATGCTGCTGGTGACGCCTGAAAACCGATCACATACTGGTAGTTTACGCCTTGTGTCTGTTTGTGTCATGTTAAGTGTTGCCATGATTTTTGTGCACACTGTGTTTTTAATGGATCCAGGAGAGTAGACTGGGTTTTGTATGTCGAATGTAACAGGTTTCAAATAAACATGAAGCTCCGCCCACCCCGCCAGAACATACACATGTAAATATCTGACGACATGGCATGCAGTCAACCTCGTATTGCTTGTGAACTGGTTACTATAGACCGGATAGTCAGGTCTACGCTATGCCAAGTGTTGGAGGTGATTCTAAATGCGCGTGAAGATGCCTGGACTTGTTTTGAAAACGTTTTCGCTGGCTTTAGAAGTGATGTTTATGTTTGCCGAAGGAAATCATATTGTTTTTGCTCTGTTTCCTCTTCTCCTCAAAATAAGGTCAATGACATGAACCAGACGTCTGTCACCATGGTAACTTAGTAATGCTGGGTTACATCATGTTGCAATTTTACAGCAGGAGAGATTTAGACTCCTGCCACCATATATAATAGTACATGGATTTGTTTGAGCAGACCATATGCGAAGGTAAACATTATGCATTTGCTTTGCAAATGTTACCTTTCTAGTTACATATTTTGAAGTTTGCATTGAAGCCTCTGATGGAGATCCTCTGTCCTTTCAAATGCTGTAAAGTTTGTGATAACTTCATAGTGCAATATAAACCTAGGCGCATGGGGGAGCCTTATGATCGTTTGGATTCTTGTCACACGGTCTTCCTAAAACAAGACAAGAGAGGATAACCTTCGCTCTGAAAGAACAAGTGTAGAAGTGTGTTCGCTACATCCTCTAAAACAAGACAACCGACTCCTGATGTAAGAACCAGAACATAGGATGTTTTGCTTACCCTGCTCTGTGTGGTACTTATTTTCTTGTCTTTTTATTAGCGCTCGCATTGAGTTTGGATTTCAGTGAATTCATCCAGTTGGTCCTTTAATATGTAGTCACTAGTACAGGTTTGACTAGACTATATCAATGGCCAGGTGGTCCTTATGTAGAGGTGGTCACTAGTACAGGTTTGACTGTATATCAATGGCCAGGTGGTCCTTATGTAGAGGTGGTCACTAGTACAGGTTTGACTGTATATCAATGGCCAGATTGTCCATCAGTTTTGACTGAAAGCCAAACCACACTAGAATAGTAGTTTGTGAGGAAACTCTGTCAGAACAGCCGGAACATAAATTTGTTGGTCCTGAATGCTGTATATGACTGATGTGAGTAAACCGCGGCCATTACGTACCAGCTTCCCTGATATCTGAAGTAATGCCGGCGCGTGTTTGTTATAGTGTTTGTTATAGTTTGCTATAGGGTTTGGTATAGTGTTTGTTATAGTTTGCTATAGGGTTTGTTATAGTGTTTGTTATAGTTTGCTATAGGGTTTGTTATATGTTATAGTGTTGGTCCTGGATGTTGTATATGATGGATGTGTGTAAAGCTGCCGGCTAAACCGCGGCCATTACGGACCAGCTTCCCTGAGATACGGAGTGAAGCCTGCGCGTGTTACGGTGCTTAATGAGGTGTGTTTGCCCCGAGTTTGGCTGTGAGCGGCCGAGTTTGGCTGTGAGCGGCCGTTGATTGGCTGTGAGCGGCCGAGTTTGGCTGTAAGATTGATTCACGCCGTTTTGATGACGCTATCGGCGCTTTTCCCGGCTCAGACCTGCGCAGGGGAGTTGTTAAACACACATTCGGTAAAGAACTTCTCTCCACGTTCCGCACGGGGGAGGATCCGCATCATAAAAGTTTGGGGAAATCTCCCGACTTGATACAGAAAAAACATCAGCGGGAAGTAAGCACCCCATTCCCGGCCCAAATCGGCCATCCTACTTATCATAAATTAGGTTTGAGTAGTCTAAGTGTTGGAGTTTTCCTGCCGGAATGGTCTGCGCGGCGAGAGTTTGTGAGTTATGTGGGATTATTCCCTGCCTGATATTAGCCTGTATGGGCGCACAATGACCCGCCCGCAGAAAGGCTATTGTACAGTTATTAAACAGTAAATCGCGGCGGGATATTGAAAGGGCTGTTATTGAATGTGCAGGGTTGTGTGTAATACGGGAGCGGCGATCCCGAGTCCGTCATTGTTTAACGCACAACATCACGCCCGCCTCGCCCACAGCGCGCTGAAATACGGCCGCCTCGGCGCAGAAGTGAAGTGAGAAACACTTGTCTTGTCGGCTGTAAATGAAGATTGCTGCGAACTGGGACCTTTTCCGCGCAATATCGGCGCTTACGGGTCAAGCCGGCCCGTAAAGTCGCCATGACGGGGCAAGCCGCGCGCGAAGCCGGTACGGAAGGGCCGCTTTGGGCACATCAGCGGCTGGCCGGGAGCGCACGGCCGAAACTTCACATGGTCTATCCTTAGCTAATAAACTACTGATCTTACTCAAACACATTTTATAATGGTGACCAAAACTTCACATGCTCTGTCCAATAAACTACTGCTTTTACTCAAACACATGTTATAATGGTGACCAGATTTTAAGATAGACTTTTCCTGTGGCGGAATTTGTACCGTCTGCCGCGCGGCAGTGTACACATCAGCACCGGGCCGGAACCGCACGGGCTGACCGGGATCATACATGAAACCATGAAACTTTACTGACACAACAAAAGTACTGCGACTTTCGTAAGGTCCTTAATTACATGTAAACATACACACAGAAACGTGGGTACAACAAAATTTGGGCGTAACGACCGTGCCGAGAGGATAGCTTTTTAACACTGTGGCGGATTTGTAACGTCTGCTACGCGGCTAACCCGGGTAGGTAGATAGACTTTACAGTGCGGAATTCGTAACGTCTGCCGCGTCCCCCGGGTGTGCGGAGCTGACAAACGCCGATCACCGCCGCCCCACAAGAAAGC